TCATAAATGTCCACTCTTTCCGATTTACACCGGTATGTGTAACATGAGATTCCAGATGACCCTCATGCCAGCTGCTTCTCGTTCTCCAGTGTTGGACCCCTCCCACACATGAACAAGCCTCATAATATTTGTTTCTATTAGAGACGCCCCTTATGTCCAATCAGTAATTGGCATGCTTTCTCCCCTTCAAAGACGTCTGAAGGTGGGAACGGTCATGGGCTGATGAGTGACGCTCTCAGTCTGGGTGTAGGACGGACAGTGGGGGGTTAAGGGTGATGTGTTTGGGCTTTCACCACATGCTGACTCAACATGATTCAGCTCAACCGACCCTTTGACCCTTCCTGGCTGCCGAGCAGTAGTTTTGCCATACGGGTGTTTGAGCCCTGATGGACTGGACCGTACTCGTGTCATTGCTGTCACTTCATGTCCACCATTACCCAATGTAAGCTGGTAACGTTGTTTGAAGTGTTTTGTCCGAGCTTGATGTGCACAAGCTGCTTTTATTAGTGTATTTGTTTGGTTAGTGTACTAACAGGAAAAACATCCTGTGAATCCGTTTAGATATGTCAACCGCAGAAAGTCTAAACTGCCTGTTCCAACAGGTTTACACAATCTTCCCTGTATTTTTCCAGCTTTATATTACATTTAGGATATTTTACTTTGGATATATACAATATTACAAAAGTAGCAAATCTTAAAATTGGAGAAGCTGGAATCAGAGAAAAACAAATGTTTTTGCTCCATTAAATGAATTAAACAACTAATTTGATTTTGAAATAATTGACTCTCAGGTCAATTCTGGTTTTGATACTACAGTATAGTATAAGTGTAAAGCCTTTATTAAGGCCAGACCGATATGGGATTTGTCCAATACCAAAATATTGTCCAATATCATTCTTAGATCAATCTTCGATGTATAGAGATAAATATAGATATCAGATACACATTTATTGTGTTGATCCCTCATATACATGTATTAAATACTTGTGGAAGAGATATACTATGATGAAGAAAGCACTCAAATGGAAAATAACTAGTAGCATCACCACTTAATACTCTGGAGAGTGATGATGTAATCCATAAAGCACTGTGCTGGTAAAAGAGAACTGCTAGTGTAATACAATACAACTCAAATGAAATACTTTTTGACTGGTGAATAAATCGAGTGATATCGGCACATTTCTGGGATAAAAGTAGCCGATACCGATAGTCACTGGACATGCTAATATCGGCCCATATTATCGTCTGGTCGCTTAGTCGGTCGGGCTCTAGCCTTTTTGTACTCCATGTCTCACAGTCTTATAGGGTTGGGTTTATTGGAGAGCCGATCTTTTTCACTGTATAATTGAGCCGTTCAAGTTGATTGCAAGAACAGATGTGAATTTCCTTTTAATGGTTTATTTTAAGTTAAAAATAATCGTCTTCTACGAGAGAAGGCACTGAGGGAGTATCACATGATTGAGTGTAAAAGACAGGGCTATCAATTCACTAAGTGAGTGAACAGTAATGTGTTGAGAAGGTCCTGATACTCCGGTGTTTTCAAGTCCTCGTATATTTTGCCAAACCCCAGGACAGTATAAAGTCTGAGCTGCCGCTCAAACAGTGCACTTGATATTGAGTTCAAATCTGTCCGGTTAGAACCATACATATGATTTGTGGAGATGGACTTTGTCTTCTCAAAGATGTGTCAAAGAAGTGAAGTCTTATTTTTGTTATTCAGACATATTCTCTTCCTGGAAAACCACTTTTTACTGCTGGAAATGTGGACTTAACATGCAAATCATGTGAAAGTGACCAGACTTATGAAAGGATATGGGGAATAATATGACAGGAAGGTTGTTGAAGAGTGAAGTGTAGAACACAAACTGTTATAGAAGTGGATCATTTCTCTTTGCCTTGTTTCCTCCCACGACATCTCCGATTCCTGTCAGTGGTTCAGTTTGGTGTTTTCACTCGCTGAAGGCTGTTTTCCTGGTTTGAAAAACCAACCAGAGCTTTTGAAGAGGGGTTTAAAATAACTTGACTGCAGATTTTTACACAAATGTTTTGTTTTGGGATATTTCACACCTCAAGTCCCCCCTAAGACAACTTGTCTTTATACTTTTCTTTTGCTTTTCTTGACACTTCCTTCCTTCTATATTTCAACTGCATAACAAGATCTTCAGAACTTGCTTACACAGAAATTCATCTCAGGTCTGTGTCAGAGCATAAGGGGTACCAGCTTTTAGCACTCTGGTGGGCCAAGCGGCCCCACAGCGACAAGCCCCTATGCTCTTTATTTGGCCTGTAGCCTGGAGGTGTCAGAAATATCGACACGCTTTCACGTGACGGAGACTTTGCCAGCCTTTTTCTCCTCTTTCTTAAGCCCGGCATTCTGCCTGCCCAGCCAGGTATTGTAGGACCCTGTGAAGGCCCTGTGAATAGTGTCAAACTTGATAGTTCTCATTTAGCTTCCTGTACTAGGCAGAAGAAAAAGTGCCCACCGTGTGGGTTTTCCTTTTGTGATGGCCCTCTCTAGTCCTCCTGGGAACACACCACATTCCAGCCACAATCTTTCCCTTTGTGAATCTGGGTATTGTGGCTGGGTCTGTTATGCCGATAACCCTGCGAGCTCTCAGTGTAATGCATGCAAGTATCATAAGAGTCTAGACTCGTATTTTTGCAAACAATGTCAGATAATGAGCGGCGTGTTTTCAGTGATTTGGCAGAGCTTTTGTTTTGACACATCCTCCCTCATTCACCAAGGAGCTTTTGTGCTCATCCACGCCGAAGAAGTGATTGAAGTTCTGCTACATCTGGACAAATTATTGCACCAGTTTACCATACATGGGCCTCATGTGTCAGCTATGGTTTATGTAACGTACATATGCGTAACCATAGTCTGGCCGGCTAATCCCAAGAGTATAATTTCTACTGCTTCTCAGAGAAGGATTTATGCAACTATCCCCTAGAACAGACCATGACAGACCACAGAGCTGCTAAACGTCTCTGACTGCAAATTAGATTGAACTAAAACTCACAAGGTACATTATTTTTTTTTTCTCTTGACTCACAACTCTAAATGTGTAATGGTTCACTGAGAACAAAGTATTTTAATGGTTCTTGTTTTCTCTCCAAAATACTCAGGAAGTTTTTCTTAGGTCTCACACTTGGAGTAAAAACCTTTGAACACTATCCATGAAAATAAAAGCTAACATCCTTCAGAAAGGCATGTTTAAAAAAAATAAATACAATTTGATTACCTGCTGCAAACTCCAAGATGAAAAACAACAACAAAAACCTGGCACCCCATTTTGTTGATGTCTCGCTCCTTCTTGTGTGTTATTGTGTCATGGAGCGTCCACCATTACCCTCTTTGGGTGAGGAGAACATGTTTTCTTCCTCTCTGTGACAAGAAGGAATTGTTAAGGTTAAGTAGATAGGGCAGCCGGAAATAATTACCAAGCACTTGTGAAGTCTCTCCCCTCCCCCCCCCCCCCTTTTGTTCGTCTTTCCCTTCATTTGAACAATCTTTTCAGTGTGCAGATCTTGTTTATGATTAAATTCAGTCTTGTCTTGCCTGTGAGCATGGCGAAAGATGTCTCACTGGATCGTGCTGTAGCTTAGTGGTCAAATCTGTAATTCACTAGGCGTAAATACCCGACCCTCCGTTTCCAAAGGGAAGGTGGCCTTTTGTGTGGAGTTCATGCAAAAATGATCCTCTTTCTACAAATCAACTGGCAGGTGACAGACAATGATGAAAATTTGATTCTTTGAAGTTGTAATGGCTATTGAAATGTGTAAAGTTCTTGCATTGAAAGGAGGGCGCCCTGGAAAGCCCTCAGTCTTGGGTGGCTGGTGCCTGCGTGCTGGGAGGTTGGTCTGTGTTTTGTCGCCGACTTCCCATTGCTTGTTTGCTAATTCCCTGAAGAATTGGACCAGATCCTTGATAGGCTCTTGAAGGGGCTCCAGTTGCTCAGGAATATGCATTAGTTTGCCTGAAGGCCCCTCCTCCTCCTGTTGTTACGCTGGCCTACTTTCTGATGGTCTGGAATTAATCACCTCAAATATTGGCCGTTAATTTCATCCACCTTAATGCAAACGAGTTCAGATGACTTTCAACTTTTTTTGGATGTTTTTTTTTGTCCGTGGCATCCAGTTACACCATATTTACAGTCATAAGCCATGGTTTCTGTTTGTTTTAAATATTCTATTATTAAGTCTGAAGAAACTCAACTTTAAAAAAGAAAGTTAAATCATGACGATGGACAGTGGTTGAAATAATTACCAACACAAACATGGTTTTAAACATCTGGAGAACAAGATTTGTAGGCCGTTACATTTTAGCACCACCGTGTTCTAATAATTTTGTATCCCACAAAGACTCCCCACAGAGAGAGCACAAGATCACACAAACAATAAAACAACAATCCAAACTTTTGAGTTTATTTTACTGAGCATATAAAAATGTCCATCCATGGGTTTCTCTCTTTTATTGTTTTCTGACCCTGAAGATGTATTTGAACTCTGTTTGACCCCAATATTTACAAGTGGAAATAAATCTCAACTGATTGATGTGAAGAACAAAAATTTAAAACATGAACTATTGGATAAAAATACTTTTTTATAGCCTCTGATTTACCCAGCAGCCTTTTGTGCTGACATTGAGAACATGTTGTCTGAGCTTGGCGTTGTATTTTTGAAACACCTGCAGACAGACTGAAGAACAGCCTTTGATAACAAACACACACAAATCTTAGAAGGAACTCAGGAAAGAAAAATATTAGTCGGCAACAAGTCAAGTGAAAGCCGGGAAGGTTTTTAAAAGAACATATTGTGACTTAAATGAGGAGCATTGACTGCTCTCAGTCTTCATTGTTTCTCAGATAATCCTTCTTTTGAAGTTTTATGGTTTTATTTTTTGGGGGGCTGATTTCATTGGCTGATAAATTCTTCGTAAATCATTTTCTCTACTCCCCTCCTCACTGTAGAAAAAAACGTTACTTCTGTTTGTCTTTTAGGACATCAGCACTGTGACAGGAGTCCCAGAGGAGCACATTAAAACACGCAAGGTTCACATCTTCGTTCCCGCCAAAACGGCCATGCAGTCCGGAGTCAACAGCACCAAGAAGTGGAAGATGGACTTCGACACCAGAGAGCGCTGGGAGAACCCGCTGATGGGCTGGGCCTCAACGTAAAGAACTCATTCTTTTTACTTACTGAACTATTTCCGCCAGAAAGACTCCTTTTATAATTAGATTTATTGGGCACTGATAAATTGGTCAATGAGACAATCATTACTTATTGAGAGTCGGGTCATTTTTATTTCTAAAAGCCCAAAGTAACAAACGAGGTTGGAAGGAACCGAAAACCAGAACTCTCATTCAGCAGCCTTTATTCTTTGACCGTCCCTGTAAGATTAATTTTTCCTTCAGTTTTTGGAGCATAAAATGTTTCCTTTGCTGCTTTGCCTCTAAATATTTGACTCTCAGGTGGATAACTGTGCTTTCTGTCTTTCAGTGCTGATCCCCTCTCCAACATGCTGCTTGCTTTCTCCTCCAAGGAAGACGCCATCGCTTTTGCTGAGAAAAATGGTAAAACATCCAAGAAATTGTTCTAAATATTAGAAAAAACTGAAACATTTAGTGCCAGACTGAAGAACACACAGAAGAGTCAAATCATTTTCCTCATAGCAAAACTTTTCAGTTTGAAAAAGTACAAAACAGAGGAAAGACTCACTGGAGCTTGAGTGAAACATCATCAGCTGTGAATGAAGTGACTGTTGGACAGGGAGTCATTAAGACTGCACTTGAACACACTTTAAGTAAATGTAAGAAGTTTGGTTATTTTCATTAGCAGTATGTGCATGTTGTACCACAGTGTTTGCAACACATAGAATGGGGCTGCCCAGGTATCTTTGCAGACCATTTTTTATATTTATTTTTTTGCCTTTAAACGGTCGCCATCTACTCCTCAAGCTTTTTACTTCTCGGGTCGCAAGTCACGTCTGTGTGCTCTGTAGGAGATCACAGAAAGAAAAACATCTGCCTTTTTATCATGTTTTAATTCTGCTATTTTAAATGACTTGTGCTGCTGGTTTAGCTGATGTTATTCTGCACTCTCTTAGTATTACTACATCTCCTGCTTTGATAACAGAATGCAGGGCGTAACATCTTCAGAGTTTGTGTCAGCGAGGTCTTGACCTTGGTTGATTTTATTTTCAGAAAATGGTGTGTGCTTTTTTAACAGTATAATCACGACGGCATCATTTATTGCAGTGCATGCTGCTTGAAGTGATCTCTCTCTCTCTCTCTCTCTCTCTCTCTCTCTCTCTGCACACAGGCAGAGTTAGTTACTATGGTTCCCGCTGTGTCTCCTGATCCCTCTTCTAATAAAAAACCAAGATTTCAATAAAACTAAAATATTGCCACTTCTTCACTTCATGTATCAAATAAATCAGATTCTACAGTTTGATACAATGTGAATATGCAAAACAAAAAGTAGCTTCAAGTAAATCTGAGATTTCATGAAAAAAAACTTCATCTGACTATCTATAGACTACTTTCATATACTTTTAAAAAGACGTTGACTTTAATAGTTCTTGTGTTGGATGTGGAGGATTGTGACACAATGAGAGAGAAAAGTTGTGTTTGTGTTACCTTGGATATTAGACAGATTTTCTAACTTACGCCTGCTATATCCTTAGCATAAAAGTTACACCCAGATACAACTCAAACAGTGCTGAGGTACGCCCAGCACTCGGCTCGTTAAGACTTTGTGCCGGCATCGTGATAGGACATGAAGAGAAAACTGTTGATCCCTCCAGAATAAAAACTTGTGTTGGTAAAAGTTCATCCTGGTTGGTTTAGCTTTCTTGAAAGTTCACTTGGACTCAGAGAACTGAGCCATCTGGTAGAGTTTGCTGAAACTAAAGAAAGGAAACAGACTTTTTCTTTTGTTTATTTCACCATGAAAGTGATTAGTGCAGTTCTGACTCCACACAGCCTGTTGATGTCTAAGTAACACCTCATTATGGTTGGAACTCATCCAAAGTTAATAAACGAGATGTTTTTGCCCTCATCACTTACTCTGATATTTATTTTTGACTTCAGGCTGGAGCTATGACGTAACAGACAAGAGGAGCGCAAAGCCCCGAGTGAAGTCGTACGGAGCAAACTTCTCCTGGAACAAGAGAACCAGGAGGTCCGCTAAGTAAACTGAAGACGCCCACCTGTTAGCTGGTGTCAGCTGCTTTGACCTCATTGTGTCCCACAGCAGACTTGTATCATTCTTGTCAATAAATGCATAATTATATACGTGTAAACCAAACATTTGGGTCATTATCGCCTTATTCGTCAAACACACACACCTCATTACTGACTACCAAATGTGCTCCACTCCATTAATGACGTGTTTGTTCCCTGAGCCGGCTTGTGCAATAGCAAAACAAAGTGGAACATATTAATACAATTAGAAATGTTTAAACAGGAATGAATATATTTGTGATCCAAAGCCAGTGACATATTTTCTGCATGAGTGTTTGTTTTCCATCCTGGTACCTGAATTGTCTTCGTGTGGAGAGTAGCACAACAGGAATTTTCGAAACAGTTTTTCACTTCAGCATCTGTGCAGTAAAGTTACCTCGTCTTTAAGACCCTTTGACTAAACTGTTAGCCAGTGAAATAATTCTGGGTTAGGGTTAATAATTCTGACCTTTATCATAGAGACAGGACAGTTTAAAGAGTTGAAAATCAGAGAGAGAGAAAGTGGGGAACGACCTGAACCCAGGCTGTCCACTTCTAGGGCTACTCTGTAGGCGGGGTGCGCAAACCAGCCACTAGTCCATCAGTGTTTAGTCTCATTATGACCCTCTTCAATGATCTCCTTATTTGTTAAGTCTGGGATTAAGAAAACCTTCAGATAAAGGGATACTACCCTTTAACCAACAACATCACAAGAAGTTGACCCGTTGCTGTTTGTTGTTGGGCAACAGAAGTTACTGTATATGTAAAAAGAAACATGTTGCTTATGAATCAGCCAAGTAAATAGTGTGTTGGAACTGCAGTGCAAACAGAGAAACAATCACTTTCCCACACTGAAAGTTTCAGGTTCTTTGGTTTGAAACAAGAGAGAAATACAAATGGTGTACTGCTTTTCAAAAATTGTGAAACATAAGATCCTTTCAGCTTTTCTGGAGCGCTAATTTATTTAACTTATCTTGTTTTGGTTTGGTAAAAAACAACACTTTAACATTTCCCAGATTGATTTCTGCTTCAAATGTGGCCATGTTTTATACGAGGCACATTCTGATTAAAGGCCCATTTAATCTTTATCGCTTTCTGCCTAAAAAACTAAAAAATGTATCCCTGTTGAGATGTTTGGAAAAGCCATAAATTCTTTGTAATGCTCTGCTATTCACACTTGGCAGTGCACTTGATGCCAGCGCTTGTTTATGGCCTTTGTGTTCAGTAAACAGTGGTGTTACTCTGCGCCCAGTCCCAAACTGCGTGACTGCACTGACATTCACACACCAATCATGAGCGCCTAATTGGTATAGCCCTTCGTTAATTAACGCACTGCATTGCAAATCTTTCACAGACTTGCGCTCGCTATTTATTTTGTTCTGTCACTCGGCACATCAAAAGAGCCGATCTGATATGAGCGTAATGGTCCAGCTGAACGGCAGGACATGAATGACAGCATGTGTTGCTTTTCCCTTTGAAATCCCCTTTGGAGAGAAGCAGCTTTTGGCACAACTCTGTGTCATAAAAAGTTGAAAGCATTCCGCACGTCTTGGCCTATAAGCACAATAATGTATGTGAAATGAGTGCGGTGGCGCAGTGGCATTGTTCAAACTCATCATGGCAACGCAAACTCCAGCAAAAGCACCGCTCAGATCAGTCAGGACACAAACTTTGGTCCAAAGTGTTGGTCACTATACGCTGTCCTGACAGTTCAACAGCCAGAGAAACAATATTCTAAATTGTGGGCAGCACTGGAAAGTTAGATTTCTGGTTTGAATGAACCTAACATTAGTTATTAATAACAGCAAAAATGTTTTGTCTCATTTATTTGCAAAGAATTGTAGCAAGCTTTGGTTCAGCTGACCATCAAAAAAGCAGTTTGTCTTTAATACTTCTGCTGCCACTCGTTATACAATAATGTGGAAGAATGAAGTTATGATCAAAACGTGTAGAATAATTACTTTTAAAATCAACACTTACCTCTTTTCATTAAGAGCAAGTTATAAGAACCTCACAGCCTGTTTGTCTAATAAAAGAGGAGAAACAAGAACCACTCCTCAGACAAATCAAATTGATTTTGATTAAGTTTGTAAATCAACATTTGAATGAAAGTATACTTCGTTGAGGCTGAGCACAACTAGAGCAGAACATAACCCTTCAACGCAGCTCAGTAGGATAATACACAGATTTATTATTCAAGAATCAAGTACGAATTTGAAACAACTCTTTGAGACTTTACAGACCCACCAAACATATTTTCTTCAGTGGACGTGTATAGTTACATTTTCACCGCCATAACTACCACTTCCTGTCAATATCAGAACCCTGTTGGAAGGTTGTTGTGAAGGTCGGTTCAGGTGAGCTCAAATTTGGCTGGGATTAAATCTGATTGTAATGGATTGTAAAAGTTCTGACTTTCCTCCGCTCTACTGAGGTGGCACTTTTGGCAGTGCAGCATGTTTAACACATTCACACATAGTGCAGAGATTGCATATGTGCTGTGTAGATTTGGAAGCAAAGACAGATTTTTCCACAGCTGAAATGTGCAACATAGAAAGTGGCACCTGCTCATTATCACAGTTTTTAAGTGGTTTCAGACAGCAACAGTGTCACAGTGTTTCATTGTTTATGGGTCAGGTAATAAGTTCCCTCACCAGCTGGAAGATATAATTCAGAAAAACACTACAATGAGTGATGCTGGAAGAAACTACAATCTGGTTTATACTGTCAAAGGAGCGCTCAGATTCTAAAGAGCCAACATGGGAATGTGACTCCAAGGGAAGGATTTTTTGTGTGTGGAAAAAGTTCATAAGTCTAAAATACAAAAAGTGTAAAGACCAGATAGTGAGCCGAGGACATCCAGCCAGAGACCTGTACCCAAAAATAGAGTGCTTATAATGTGGAAGAAACCTAAATTCCTCTTGATTTGTTGTTATTCTCTGTAATAAAGCCAGCTCTGGCTCCTGTCATTAGAGAAATCCTCCTCCACTCTGTTGGAGAGCAGGCCGGCTGTTATCGAGCCGCGCGGCCTGCTTTGACTGTGCAGCTGGACAAAAGACCCGATGTGAGGGTTTTAGTTTGAACGTGTGCCAAGATGCTATTTGTTAATGGAGCTTCTCCAAATAACACACACACCTTCACTCACGCAAACCACTCCCTGGCCTACGATGACCCAACGATCAGTGCTGTCTGCTGCCGCTCACTACTGTGAACTCCTCAACCCGGGTGATGAGGCACGCAAGCCCCGCTCATCTGCAGCCAAAGGCCTGCGTCCTCGTGTGTGTGTGTGTGTGTGTGTGTGTGAGAGAAAGAGTTTTCAGCTCACTGTGTGGACTAAAGCTTTTTTTGAAGGGCACAGATCACAGATTGATGATGACTTCTGGTTATCCAAACAAAAGCTCACAGCAGGCAGCACTGAAGAGGACCTGTTTACCTGAAGTGTACTGTTTATTATCCTGGCATCATTTGTTCCCTGTCGTTACAGAGAGGCAACAAAAACACATATTTGATTGAATTCTTCAACACTTTCACTGACTGAAGCCTTTCTAAAGACAGTGGGCCTACACTAGAGATTTTCTTGACAAGTCAGATTGACAAAAATGACTCCTTACATTTGTAATAATATCATGAATTTCCCTGTGAGATTAACATTTTTTTACGTCAGGGATTTTATCACATGGTCCAGCCTTTTAATATCGTGTGATGTTCAGGGTCATTGTGAGCAGAGGTACTTGTGAAGCTGAATTGATTCATGGCTTTCTTACGACTTGAAAATATCCAACACAACAGGTGTAAACTAACACTAACATCATAATGAAGTACATTCATAAGGCAGTATCACTGTCTGATTATACATATCTGAATACGTTGTTCACACTGACTAGTAAAAGAGTAAAACATATGATACAAAGCAGTAAAATATATTGGCCTGGGTTTTTTTGTTTCCTATGTTTTACAGGTGAAATATTTGACTCATTAAATTGATTCGTACTTCAAGTCATGAATAACTTCTCGGCCATTTCTTGAGCAACAAAGTGGAACAACATCTTTGATCCAAACTTCAACTGTAAATTCAGTCAGATTTGTGACAGCAAGGTTTGAAAAAAGAAGAAATGGATTTATAGCTCTTCATGACTTTTTTTCACCTGGGCTGATTCTGAAGAAATGAGCTGCTAAAAGTTGAGGAGTGACATTCCTGCATTTTCCTCAGTCTGTCTCTGCTGTTTCTGCATAGGGGACCCCCCCCCTCACCACCACCCCCACCCCCCAACACCCACCCCAACGCCTCAGAATCTGCCTGGTTCACATACACAAGATTAAGTAGCAAAAGTGACATCCAAGACCAATCGGGCCACCCAAGAGAACCGCAACCAGCGGAGCGGCTGTCAGAGCCCCCTTTTGCAACATTAATCTTCAAGCCTCTCCTGCACTGCCAACTCACATCTCCTTCAAACGGGACAGGGAGGTACACGACTGAACTTTTCCCTCCCTCAAGGTTTCCTCCTCTCCATCAATTAACTCTTTGGGGGACAATTTATCGTCACCCGCCATGTGCCAGACAACTTCAAACACTGGCACAATGAATGACTTTTCCAGACTTTCTCGAACTTTAATTTAGCAACAAGGAGATAAGCTTAGACATTAGCCCAATTTGTAATCATCCTAAATGGCTTCAACTGACATGTGAGGCAGAAACTATACTAAAAAAGTGAATGATGTGTGAGAGGACTACATTTAACGTGTCCGCTCAGGCATTTCTGTGGTCTGTTCATGCCATTAATAAGATGGTAAAATTCAGCAGTGAATTTGTCTTAAATGTCAGAGGGCTGTTAAAATAGACATCGAGGAAACAGCTTGCTGACTGAGCCACTTCAACCACCTCAGCTAACCCCTTTGTCTTCTCTGCTGACCAATAGCATCTTTGATCTCTTTCAGGAGGATAACTCTATGCTCTGTGCGTGTGTGTGTGTGTGGTGGGGGTTATCCTGACCTCCTGGGGGGGGTCACATCCAACCTGATAGCGGTGTGAATGGGAAAACAGCTAAGATGAATACAGCAATTGCTAACTAGCGGAACATGAGTGTG